CCCTCAACACGCACCTGCAGGCAGTGTACGGCTGTCTGCCGTTTCTTGTCGTCCTCCATATCCTTCAGGGAAGTCGAGCAGGTGGTGGCGAGATCCTCCTGGCAGGCCTCTTGGATGCTGGGATCCAGCCTGAGAAGACAAGCCGGGGCCACGGTGTTAGTCGAGCCGGGACGCGCGCCCAGGGGTTTTCAAGTGTGGGCAACAGCCAGAGCGTCCCAGGGACCTGGATGGTGCGAAGCCCACTGCAGTGACACCCCCCGCCACGCGCACGCGCGTACGCATGCAACCGATCGAACGAGCTCACACCAGTGTTTTTGCCCCTGCACAGAATTACAGGCGCGCGCGCCCTGTTTTGCATCGGGGAACGCAATCTCATGCACGAACTCAGCGCTTTATCTTCTCGCCACCCACCCATCCTCAAACACACACACAGGCACACGCGCGCACACACACCCACACCCACACACAAACACACACCCACACACACGCGCGCGCGCGCACCTGAAATCTGCCACCCGCCGCGCTATGACTGACTCCAGCTCCTTCTTGCAGCCGGGGCTGAACCCTGCCTGGTCCATCTGATCCTCTAGGCACTCCTGAAGTTGAGGGGGCACAGGCAGGGTTCAGAGGGGTTTGTGGGTGGGTGGCTTGGGTGGAGTGGGAGGTTTTGGGCGGCTTTTTGGGTGGTTCAAGGGGAGCAGGCAGGGAAGAGGACGGCTGGGGCGTTGGTGTGGTGCTCCGCGCCCGTTTTGGATTGGGAGTACGCCAGAAAAAGGGAGCAGGTGCGAGACGCCCATGAGGTGCACGCATCAGGCTGGGCTTCCGAGGTGGCGGTCGAGCAGCCGTTTGGATGGAGGCGGCTCCTCGCAGCTGCCCACCCCGGCTTCCAGCATCAGGCCCGTCGGCGCCGAGGACCGCGTGAGGGCTGACGCCATGCGTGCACGTGCAGGCCTCACACGAGCGTGCGCGTGCGCGGGCCTCCTGGCCCCATCGAGGCAGCACAGGCGGGCGTGCGTGCGCGCCCCCCGGCCCCGTCAATATTTTGATGTGCCCACCTGCACCCGCATGTGGCCGGGCTCCACGTCGGCGCAGAATTTGCGCTGGTCGTTGACGCAGCTCTTGAACAGCCGCATGCTGAGGCGGATGTCGGAGGCGGCCTGGGGCAGGGCGGGGGCGGGCCCTTGCATCAACACATTTCGACTCAAGCAGGTGGCCCCGCCCACATTGGCACGTCTGCAATTTCGAGCTAAGTGAGCCGCCCACTTGATGTCGTTGTCAAAGACACGAATGCATTCGGTCGCTTAGACAAAGCAACGCTCTTCCTTTGCAGCCCACCTCCTTTTGGAACCGGATGACCTGGTCCAGGCAGTCCCAGCTCAGCTGCTTGCTCTTCTCGGCCTGCAGTTGTAGGCCGCGTGGACATGCACGAGCCGTCACGCCACAGGCCGCCGGTGCATGCAGCCCCGCGAGGCTGCCGCAGCGGTCCAGCGCGGCCCCAGTCGCCAGTGCCACAGTGGGATGCGGCCGGAGCACGACACCCATCCCTTGAGAGTGCACGGCACCCCCTGAGAACATGCAGCAATCCAGTACAACAGCCCCTGACAAACGCAGTCCACCAAATCCCGTCCCGGTCCGCCCGGTCCGGCGCGCCCCACCAGGCAGTCCAGCTCCCGGCCGTCCCCAGGGTCCACGCCCTTGCAGTGCAGCGCAACCTGCGCCTCGCACGCGCCAAACAGCCGCGCGTCTAGGCGGTAGTCCTCAGCTGCCTGGGGTGGGCGTGTCAGTGGATGTGTGAGAGGACACAAAATTTGCCAGGGTGTTTGTGTACCGGGGTGTGTGTGGGGGGGGGCACGTGTGTGTGTATTGCAGCGATCAGCGTGTACGTGCAACTGTCTTGGTGAGTGCGCACATAGGGGTTTCGAATTTGTGTGCTTTGTGAGCCTTGCCTGGCAGCTGCTCTCACACGCCAGTCCTCAGGTATTAAGGCCGCCCTCAACACCCCAGCTGAACACAGGCTCTCACACACACACACACACACACACACACACACTCACACACACTCACACACACACAGGGACCCCTCTACCCCAGCATCAGCTTCTCAGCTTGCCCCCAGCTGCGGCGCCGCACCTCGAGCATGGTGCGCAAGACCTCCCTCTGGCATGGGGGTGACAGCTTCATGCCGTTGTCCCTGCGCTCGGGAGCCACGGCGTGGCAGTGTCGACCAAGGATGGCGGGGCGGCTCGAAGAACATGGTATCCAAACCTAGGCAGCGTAAATCCACAGCCACCGCAGCGCGATCCTCGTTGCTAAGCCTTCTCCACTGCTGCCGCCGCCACGCCCAGCGCGCCGTGCAGGGCTCCCCAACCACCTGAGCAGCGACCGCCACTGCTGGTCACTGCTTGCGCAGGCCCGCGGTTCAAGTCCCGCACCCCGCACGCTGCCTGTCATCCTTTTGGCTAGGCAGGGCGCCGTCAGACCCGCTGCCGAGCAGTTTCTAAGCAGCTGCGGGGGTGACATGTCACACACCCATCGCTTGCGCACCTGAGGCATGCCACCACGCTGCCGTTCACTTTGATGTCCGACTCGCCAGCGCATAGGGAAGCCGCGTCCACCTTGCACGAGTGCGCTGCGGGTGTGTTCCAAGCACACGCAGCACAGGCCCAGGCGGGTGAGGCCATGGCTGGGATGGGCAGTGTTGCATGCGGCGAGCATGGCCTCATGCGGCCGCGCTGCACTGTACAGAGCCGCTCGCAGAGCCGGCGAGGCGGGTGCACGCCGCCTGGTTAGGCACTCCAGACCGCGCCCACACAGCGGGCTCGGCTGCCCCGGCGCGGCTTGTTTCTTCTGCAGCCGCTTTTGCGGCTGTGAGGCCGCGACCCTGCGTGCTCACCCAAAGCCGTATCCTTGTTGATGTTTGTGTTGCGCTCCACTTTGTACGCAGCCAGGTCATCCGCGCAGCGGTCGGACACCTGCCGCCCCGCCACATTGCCTTTCTTCTGCTGCTGCAGCTGCTTCGTCAGGCACGCGGCCAGCCGCCCGTCGCCGGCCGTCTGGCCGCCGCAGAACGTGGAGATGTCTGCCTTGCATGGGCCTGGGTTGGGTTCCGGTGCGCAAGCAGCAGGTCGAGCATGCGTGCGCGATCGAGGCGCGCGCAGCAGCAGCTCGTGCGTGCGTACAGCAGCGATGGTGTCCCGCGCGCACCGTTCGGCAGCACATCTCCGATGCCGTTGGGAAGCTGTGCCTCTCCAGCACTCGGTATGATTTTCGATAACCGTTTGGCCACCGGAGCAGCGGGCTTCGCAACCGGTGAGGCCGCTGGTTTGGCCTTGCCACCCGCTTCCGCGTCTGCCGTGATCGCTGGAGAGACCCCAAGCAACAGCAGTGATGCTATGAAAACCAATACAAATTGCTGGTTGTCGCTATAGGACCCCATGGCCAGCACCAGATCGGGCACGCGGGGTCAGCTAGGTCAGTGCATCGTGAATATTGATAAGGCGCAGCAACCAGCGAGTCAAGATGAAGCTGTTTGACGGGCAACATATGCATGTGTTGCTGTTGAGGGCAAGTTTGCTGCTGTTGGGCCTGTTGGGTCACTGACAAACTTGTGCTCTTCAAATCGTTCACGACGGTACTGCCTGTGCTATGATACGCTGCGTAACTGGGGCGCAACAGGCGGACGGCCCATGAATTGTTGCTGTGACAATAGCACAGGCTTTCCAAACGCAGTTTCCTCATGAACGCCAACTGCCAGGTCTTGGTGGCCGCAGGTATTGACCTGTGCCCATCAAAACCGTTGGACCACCCACGCCCGCACGGGTGGCAGGCAACATATGCATTGGTGGACCAACTCGAAGGAATGAATATCATGTGGATCTGATTACTGTAATAGGTTTTACGCCGCAAGTTCACGACACCTCAAGCACAAGGCCTGGGTGTCTTGCCATGAGCGCCCTGGCAATCGCTGGCTGGACCCCATGAGTATCAAACGACAAAGTAATGCGCACCACCGGCGGTCCCCCCACCCCCGGCCCCTCGCCTGCCTG